TAAAATATAAGCTCAAATAAAATATTTGCGTTTCAATGGTCACGAAAGGGTTAAACGAAAATCGCGTTAAAGCAAGTAGAATTCTTTTTTCGTTTTTTTTAAAGAAAAGTACGCTTTGGTCACGTGAAAAATCTGAAATTCATCGAATCAGAATCGAGTGTTGATAGAAAGGAGGAATGATACGAAAGTCTCCGTTATGTTTCTAAATTAAACATAAATATGAGGGAGATTCGATTGCCGGTAATATTACCGAAGACACGGTTCACCGACGAAGTTATTTTCCCTGTTAATTTTGTATTTTTTTTCGCTCCACGTATGTACGTGTACACCTCGAGGCAGCTTGGTATTTTTTGTTGGTTGTTCGTTCGTTTGTTTGCGATGCAAATATTCTTCCATTATCCAGCGTTCCCTAAATTAGGAATTTCTTTTTTCCACTTTCTTTCGAAATGGCGCGGAACACGAAGATCACGTGTACTTTTTTCTTCTTATTCGGTCGTTCTTTTGCTCGTTTTTCTACAATTTGATTAATCAACAAAAGCTTGTTTTATTCTTTTTCTTGTCCTTTTTGAAGTTTACTTTAATATTCTTAATTAGACAATTATTACGAGGAAAAATAGATTTTTATCAAAGTGCTTTACCTTCAATAGAAGTGTACTAAGTAAATTATACCGAGCAGTTAATGATTTACTAATATTTACAATACTTTGTCACATAGCATTTAGGTGAAAATATAATATTCATTAGAAAAGTATATTTGTTCTAGAATATGGAAAAGTAGGGAAAAGTAACAAGACGCAATTGTACGGTGATAACACAAACACAGACATTTATTGCAAAGAAGTTTCCATTACACGATGTATAAAACGTGCAACGCACGGCTCTCTCCAAGAACTGAATTGAATAGTCAACCGAGAGGGTTCACGAGAAGTTGCAGATCATCAGGGGCCCGCGCGTCGGTAACCTAGAGAACTTCCTCTAGTCTAACAAATATTAACAAAATGACATACAAAATGGTACTAAACTAAAAAGTATCTTTAGTTCCATAATATTCATCGATGAATATATCTAGCTATGCTTAAAAAATATATATAATTGCACAATAAAAACGCAATCTAAATGCACTCTAAATTTTACGAAAGAGACGAAGTTACCCAAAGATAAACTTGTATATTGTTTAACTTTTATCTTTACACTTTTTTCCCATTCCCAACGAAACAAGGAATACTCTCCATCTGAATTACGCGTTTTTCTCTGTCTGCTTTATACATTTTCATACTTCGAAAAAGATGGAACGAAAAATATATTTATTAACAATTCCAAATATTCTATTTCAGTCCTCGAAAAAGATATAATTCCAAACATTCCACTGTGCGATATAAATTAAGAATTAAAAACAAACATTATCATAGTCCATCACAAAAACTATATTTACCAATTTAATACATAAAGATAAACTAACTTACAAATTTATAATTTACAATTTACTTGTTAATTTATAATTTATAAACTTTTATAACGAACACAGTCATTTTCAACAAACCACGCAAACATTCTGAAAATCTTTTATCGACGAAGCGATCTGGAGACTTCATCCCCAAATTGAGCGGAGCATGTTCACCCACTAACCCTAACTTTATCCGGTATTAAGAGGCGCGAAGCCAACAGGTGATATTTGAGAAGTTTCACGAGATCTCGCGAGATTTATTCGTAGATTATTTTCGCGTATGGAAAGGATATCCTTAAAATGTCTGTGTAAAGGAGGAACTTCCTCGTGTCGTCGACTCGAGAAAAATATATATCCCTTTTCCCTTTTTTCCTTCCCCCTCTCCACCTTTCTTTCACTCTTCTGTCCTCGGTCCCTTTATTTCTG